GGGTCTTGTCTCGGTATATAAACACTGGATCAAGAGACAAATTGCCTCTGATGGGTCGTCCAAGAAAAAATACTGGCCGTGAAGACCGACGACTGATTTTGATGTCCAGGTTTTCAAAGTTCGACACTGCTTGTCAGTTGACAACACAGTGGAACAATTTCACACATAAGAATGTGTCTGTGAAAATTGCTAGGCGTCGGTTACATGCTCTGAGAGTGTACAGCAGGGTAGCAAGACTGAAACCTCTTATATCGTTACAAAACAGGCAACGTAGAGTAAACTAGCGTCAACAGGATCTGGAACTGGACAGTTTATGACAATTGGTCCTATATATATTTTTTCTGATGAGTGTCGCTTTGGTCTGACCTCTGATGACAGACGGGTACTATGCTGGCAAACTGCTGGTAAAGCATTTGAACCACATGCACTGAATTTTCGAACCCGGAGCAGCATATTCATCATGGTGTGGGACTGCATCAGCATCCATGACTTGGGCGAATTGATAGTGGTTAATGGAAACATGAATCACTAGAAATATATCGATGTTTTGGAGTCAGGTTGCTACCATCTATTACTAACATGTTTGGTGACAGGAATTATCCATTTGTTCACCAGGATGACAATGCTTCTTGTCACAGGCCCAGAGCAGTTGATGATTGGTTTGACCAACAGGACATTCGCAGGGTGATGTGGCCTGCCCAGAGTCCAGATGCAAACATAATAAAAAATGTGTGGAATGATATGTCAAAACTTTTCACAAATGCCCGTCTAACCAGCAGAGAAACTCTGTTATATTCAGTGTTTCATGCTTGGGCCAGCATAAGCCCTGAACGCATCAGACAATTATATGAAACCTTGCTTCGTAGACTGGCACCTATTATTAGGTCACGTGGCTATGCCACTGAGTACTAATTTTGGACTTGAAACTGCATATTTTGGTAGAAATGTATATTTTGTTATCATTTTGTGATTTTTTGTGAAATTTGATGTTAATAAAATGATACCAGGAGCATATCAGTAGGGGTGACACTTCTTTTGTCCAGTGTGTGTAGTTTTCGTCATTAATAAATAACAATTTTCAGTCATATGGACTTATCTTATTTACTTTTGAGCAAAAACAGAGCTTCGTTTTGCTTGTGAACATTTGACTATATAAATACAAATATAAACCTTACTAGAAATAAGACTTGAATGCAGTTAGTGCTTTCAATTGTAAGTCAGAATAAATGGATTAAAACAATACAAACAGTAACAATACAATTGGAATTTAACTTTGAGATACTACCAACAAGAGAAAAGACCCTTACCAGAAAATTGTATTAGCTCTTCGAGCTTATTTCATTTCATAATTATTGATGAAATGATCAGCGCTCTGCGATGATTTCAGTCCCTGTGAAAATTTCCCCTGAACAAATGCTTGTATCGATTTAATGTACAAGGTAAAACATGTAACGGCGATGCATATGTCTTGAAGATGCGACCTTAAAGTATACATATATACACGAAATGTTTCATTCATGTAATGTACCAAAAAGATGCAGAGAAAGATTGTAAGATTGCAACAAGAAAGGTGAAGTAGAGCTGACAGTTAGAAAACTCACCGGATTATTAGGTCCCTTATCCTGTTGGAGTTGAATGGCAACGGGCACCAAACGCTGATTTCCTTTTTGAAAGAACAGTACCAGAGGTGCACCGATCTAGAAACAAGAAAGTGCTTGCAAAATCAATGGGAGGTCGTTCAAACCGCTAAATGGTCAGAATTTCAATTAATCTTAAAATTAATTTTTCTAAAATTCAAATTACTTACCTCAAATGTTTCGTTTTCTGCGCAGAACATTTCCATCACGGCTTTTCAGGAGATATACCTGCCCCCACCTACGGCCCTAAGGCCTTCCAAGCCAGGATTTTCCCTCCCAAAACTAATTTTTTAACGATTTTGCCCGGGGTAAACGGCATTTTCCCGCCTTTACAACCTTTAATCTTCATTTTATGTAACTCTGTTACAATTCTGAGTAAATAGCAAAAGATTAGAAGCACATGTTTTCCAGATATGCAATTCATTCCATGATACGACTTTCGAGACTCTCGGGCCGTGACCCGCGTTATTTTCACACTGTATCAAGTTGGCCGACTACCGAGGTTGGACAGGGGGCAGTATTATTTAAGACCATTTATATACGTTTTCAAATATTTAATTGTCCTCAGATAAGTTCAACAAGAAACAATTCATGCTTAGATTGCGTTGAAAATCGTGGCTTGGAAGGCTTTAAGAAAGACAGGTGCATGGGCCTGGGAGGTCTCGTCATTTCTGTTAATATATATACTTTCTTCTTTTAACGTAACGCAGCTGATGTAACTCTTCTCTGATTACACGATCAAATTCATCGTAAAGTATTGTGGTTAACATGCCAACATCAAGATAAAAATCATCACTGCAGTGAGGTCGTGGCCTTTACTAGGTTAAGGTATTTGAAGCATTGCCACATATCAAGCATGTTGATAACGCAGGGCCTGGTTAGACTGGACTGGTATGTTTCTGGAGGTACTGGGTACAACTTCGAATGGGTTGAACTCCCAAGACGGAAATGCGTTGGAAATATTAATAATTGTGACATACATTTTGTCCCTTTTGCGCTTAAAATAAGAAGTGCAAGGAGTATAACTACATACAGTGTATCTGGGCTTTCTTTGTCCCAGATATGCCCATAAATTATAGCACTGAATTTACCTGCACTCCAATCTTAGTGTGTATCGTAGGTATGAAAAAGGCAAGATATGTAGTTACTCCGTGCACGTATTATTTCAAGTGTACTGTGTGTAAGAGAAACAAAATGCTGCAATTACCGGTATCAATTCACTCGACGTACATGTACTTCCGTCTTGGTTAAATATGACCAACTCATTTGTGAAGGTTCTGTTACACCAAATATTCACCTTTTAAAGTTCAATTAGGCCAAACCATTTGTAGAGGTTTAATTGGACCAACCCATTTTTTCATTTAAATAAAACTATTTGTGGAAGTTCAATAAGACCTACCCATTTGTGGAGGGTCAATTTGGACAATCCATTTGAATAGGTTCAATAAGGCCAACCCTCTATGAACTGTGACTATTCCAAAATTGCACCCAATCAGTGACCCACACAAGCTAGATAATACCATGAAGTACAAGAAATGTGATGTCCACTTTACCTCAGTTTCTGGATTGTGACGTATGCCTTCCAGAATCTTAAGATCTATTATGAAAAGCCTTTTGGCATCCAAGGCCTGTTTTAGAGTGAGGCCCTCAAGGAATGGTTCCACCATTTCTGCAGTCACGCCAAACCTTAGGTATTAACGATGAGTAGTTGATTTATTTAAATATTAAAATAGATAAGGATTGAATTGACCAGTAGTGTTTTATTACCTACGCCAAGGGGGTTATGTTTTCACCCCTGTTTGTTTGTTTGTTTGTTTGTCTGTCATCAACATACCTCAAAAAGTTATGGACCGATTTTGATGAAATTTTCAGGAACTGTCAGAAGTGGGCCAATAATCAATCAATAATCAAAAATATCGAAAATTTAGGGGTGAAACGGCACTGGATGGAGACTTTGCTGCCTTGGCGGAGGTCTGCGCTCTCTAAGTGCTTTTCTAGTTGATTATGTTATAAATTGATTGGAGTGATAAGTTTCGTACTCAAATACACATACATCATATCAAATTATCTCTCTCTCTCTCTCTCTCTCTCTCTCTCTCTCTCACCCACACACACACACACACACACACACACACACGTTCATGCTCATTAACACAGAGCATATTATGATAGTAAGTTTAATAATAATAATAATAATAATAATAATAATAATAATAATAATAATTAAATATTTGATAAAAATGCAAACAGGTTGTTGAAATTATACAGCTATACACTCTCTCCCTCAGTCATACTTACTTCTCTGGAATGGAGGAGCATAGAGCAATAAGTATTGTGTTAACGCCAGCCAAACGTTGGGCACCGAACCACTCGTCATCTCGCCAGTGCAAAATTTGTTCCTGTAGTAATCAACAGAGACGGAACATAAATCGGCATTCATTTTAATGCTACGATACAGCCAAGTACTTACAATATGTACTGCACTACATGTTACTCGTGTTACTCGTGTGATAATCCGCGGTTACATATATATAGAATGGGGCGTAAATTTTCATAAAGATGAAAGAATAATTTTGCATGACACAGTGTGAACTTTTTGTGATGCCTCATATGGTACAAGTTTTAACTTAAAAGTCATAATAAAATATCTAATTATAATAGACAAATGTGTTTATGCATGTATATTACTTGATAGTTATCTCCAAAATAAAAAAATGGGATACAAAACATAAAATAAGTCCAACTTAAAATGATTTAATTATGGTTAAGATATTAATATGATGAGACGAAAATGGAAGAGTCAAATGCCGTATTGCAGGAAAAAAGATCTTTGTCACTTGAATTATCATTTCTCTCTCTCTCTCAAAAAAAAAAAAAAAATCTTGTGAAATGTCTTTTCCTAGGTATAGTCTAAAACTTTCGCAAATGTAGAACATGTTTTTCTGTCCCGGAGTGTCCGATTTTGTGGCAGTCTGCGGTATGTGACTTACACTCGGTTTTCCAATGGTGTCGGAGTACAATGCATAGATATCGTCAAAACTGTCCCATTCTCCAGACAGCGTCATCAGACCGGTTAAACCTGCCTGACGACTCATTGTTTTCTTCCGGGATTCTATGTCCCACTGCAATCAAGAAATTATACCATCAAGAGCACACATCCCTTCCATAAATAGATAAACAAGCTAAAAGACAAACAAATGGATTCAAATACAAACAAACAAATATAATATAACATTAACACAAATATAGATTCAACTGAGTACTATAAAAAGCACAATTTTTTCCAATTGGTTTAATCAGTAATTAATCGGACATCAAAATAACATGTTCGTCTCCATCACAATTACATGTACTTTTTGCTCCGTCAACCGTACAGGTAAGTAACATATAATCAGTCATGTTTGTCTCCTTGTTAAGCCATGTGTATCTCGACCTGGATCTTGTGGTCGTCCGAGGGGTCTTTTTGGACTTCTAGCACTTTCTCAAGCACCGAGTAACCACCCGGCAAAACCGACATGTCCGCCAAACTGCTGGGGAAATAGCTCAACCGCAGCGGATCTTAGGACAAAGTAGACTAATATTTTGTTTCCAAAATTTAGACCAATTTTTGGACTAAAGTCCTTTTGTGAAACAGCTCAACCACAGCACGTGGACTCTGGTTTTCCCCATGAAGATTTTTCCTTTTTTGCTGGTAAGGGTGTTGTGATACTCGCACCACGTGCATGTTTGAGAGTTAAATTAAATTGTTTATATGCAAATGATAATAACCAAGAAGGTTATAATTCCTTCTTTTTTTTCTATCTGAAATGAAATTGGAGGCACGATCAAAACACGGTTTCTATCTTGACAAAATACATATAAGTTATATATACATGTATTTAAGGGGGCACGCACTTGCCTTGTAAGCATCCGACATTGCCTCATCAGCTGGCAACTGGTTCACCTGAACATTAAAAAGTTATTCAAAAGAGTAAATGGAATTATGAAAGAAAGCATAGAAATAAACAATATTAAAAACTGATAGTGTATTGGTAGATAATAAAATTATAAAGTAAGACAAAATGTTAAAAAATATCTACAGAGTGAATCCGTTCACCTGCATTCTGTCAACAGGCAGCTTGCTATGTTACAACTATAAAACTGTGGTGTTCAATACATAAAAACCATACATGTCATAACATAATTCTAAAGATTAAATGGAGTTGTAAAAAAAGTCGACAAAGTATTTCTATTTCTGTTACTACGGCCATGCCAACGGGGAGTGTATCATTAAACACGTGATAAAATCCGCGTCTCGGATCAACAGAGAAAAAATATGTACTGAGATATATAATAAAAAAGGAAGATGATATCATCTAGGTGACGATGCCTTTTACATTTTTTTCAGGAGGCAGGGCTTGTAAACGTTAACGCTCAGTTCCATCGTTATATGAGGCCTGTACACGAATCGTCTGTCCTTAGTATTATTCGACGATTGCCGGTTGCGAATAATAACCGCCAATTAGTGACTTTGATCTCCGAATTAATGACTCTAACCGCGATTTCATGGTCCAATTGTATAAATTCTGAGACTAATAGTATGGTCGCGAACAATATTGGCGTTCATCTATAGATTTCATGCTGTTCACAAAAAGGGTTATTTTCTTCACCACGTCAGTGATGACTTTACCTGTACTGGGAGGCCCGGTGCTTTTGGCGCAAATTCATAAAGTTTTCTTCTCTCTTCTAACTCGCTTTTCCTCTGTTCTTTTTGCTCATCGTCTTGCGGCAGCTTGCAATCAAGGTGATCAAACACGTAGTGTCGTTTAAGCCTGATCCAACGGTGTATTGGAAACACACGGATGGATTTGTCCTGTTGGTGCTCAATGCGAACCGATTCCACAAACCAATCAGGCGCTAAACCAAACGCGTCCATTGTAATTTCCATTTTCCGAATTTTACCAAGGCCGGAGGTATCAGAGACAGGGTGTGCGTCCATCGAACCTCGTTCTAAGCTGTCTCTCAAAGGGCGCTCCAGCTTCATGGGGGCCGATTTCTTCCCTTGATCATCGTGAAGCACTACCAAAACATTGGCGTCGGTTCCAGCGCCCTTTTTGTCGCCGGTTTTAACGTGGAGAATGTGAGTAGGGAGGGACGTGCCATGCTTGTTCCCCATTTTGGAGGTCGTGAAACCCTGGTGCGGCTAGGATTTGAAAACACAACGATATCGTTTCTGGTGGAAAGACCAAAACAATCTGGGCTACCCGTATATGTTAAGTATCACTGACCCGATAACAGGTGGCGACACAACCGCAGATCCTGGCTGACACGAGTTAAGAAAAGTTATTGCCGTACATCAGCATGACACAAACATTACACTTAATGGTACGTTAATTTTAGGTTTACCACATAAAAAAGTCTCACACGGAATAAATTGCTTGGTAGGGGTACGTGCTCTACTTATTTGACATGCATAAAAGATCAGTTTTATTACAAAATGGCATTTTCTTCATTAAATGCTAGTCGGAGATATCGGTAATTTGAGAACAATCGCAAGTAAAAAGTTTCTAGGTTTTGCCGTGTGAGACGGTAGACATGGGCGTCTCTGATATTCATGGGAATGGTGGATATTTAAACAGATGGGACAGACATGACAGACACCTGGGACAGATATGTTTATACATATCATGTTTCAGTACAGTCTGAGCAGCAAGAATTGTGACGTTGAGTGGGCATCGCATTCACCAGACTTGACCCCCCCCCCCATAATTTTATGTGGGGATATCTCAAAAATAATGTGTACCAGAACAACCCCAAAACAATTGATGAACTGAAGGCGGCAATCACTGCAAAAATCCGAGAAATCCCAAAGGAGGAATGTGTTCGAGTAATTGACAAAAGAACGGACCTTCGTAGGAATGAATTAAATTTTTATAGGTTCCGGCTTTTAGGGGGAGGGGGTCACCCTGCAATATTAGTAGTTACGAATACAGCTTTGATGTTAAAGTGCGTGGAGTTCGAGTATTGAGGTATTTAAATAGTTGCGTTGTATACATGTATTTATTCCATAAGGAAGTGTGGCATTGTGTTAATGCGACTGTGTTTTTTTTAAACACGTACAGTTACAAATACCAGTTGTCAAGACTGAACAAACTCATTAGTGGACATGATTTCAATAGAAATCTTACTAGATTGTTGTTTTTTTTACAAAATCTTGTTCTGATTCACTTCAAATAACAAGCATATTTCGAAAAACTATTTTCCCTCTTTGTACGTCATACAGGTAACTCGAAGACAGATAGAAAAAGATCACATGGAGAGTACATGATTTTACGGATTGCACTAACCACTAAAAGGTAAATTGCCATTCTACCTGTAAGTCTCTCATTCTATGTTTATGTACGATCATCAGAAAGAAATGCAGATTGGTAGGTACAGCTGTATTCCTTTGCATTATCAAATTTACGATAAAGCCTCAAAACTCTCAAGTGTCGACAATATTATACATTACATAAATTTATTATAACATCTATGATAAACAGTCGTTGATTTTAAGATTAATACAGTAGTATTTCACAACGGCCTGTTCTACATGCGTTTGTCGCGACTGTTCATACTCTCGTCATTCTTTTTTGTCCAGGATGCGTGAAAGTCGAAATATGATGTTATTATCCGTGAAATGTTTCCTCTATCATAAGTGAAGTCTTCGTTCCCCAGGATGTTAACGTCTCCTGCCCCACATAGTTAAGGCCGCAAAGACCGACTTTTAAAGTTACAGTGACGTCACCGGCTGATATCCCCTGGCAAGTACCTTGAACTGAAATTTAAAATTCGTATGGAGAGGTATACGTGGTATTTACACGTTTAATAAATACAGGACTAGAAACTTGAGTCAACATTGAAGGTTGAGGCTTCTGTGAGAAGTTTTCTGTGAGTTAAAAATGGTTAATGTCAAAATTGTGAAGGCAGTAATGTAAATTGCTTTCAAATACTGTCCGATTAAGAAACGTCTGAGCTGGCAGAGGTAGACGAAGCAATAATATGAACACAGAAATTACCAAAGCATACCTGTAAATGGGTTGTTAAAGTAGACGACCTCATTGAGAGCCTCATAGTAAACATTGAACTTGATGCTCTCAATTTTTCCCGGGTTGCTACATTCGTTATCGTTGAAGGTGAAGTACCATCGTGAACACCCGTAGGGAACACCTAATTCTTGGGCATTCCCTGACCAGAGCACTTTTAACCCACTGATGCTGGACTTCTTATTGTATGTCACTGTCTAAAAAGGAAAAAAATGAGACTCAGAAGTACAAAAGTAGCTATGTGACTGAAGGCTACTTTAAAACTACATGTATATCATACTCTAGAAAATAAGTTCATCTGGATGTATTATGTATAATATATTCTTAAGAGATTCATTTTTTTTTCACCCAAAAGAGAACAGGGCAAAATATGTTAAATTACCTGTATGTGCAGAGATTTTTAACTGCTCTTTGTTGAGGAAATGGGCACTGAAGAAGACGGCAGCAAACAGCAGTTGAAAATTCCTGCACTTACAGGTTATTTAACATATTTTGCCTCGTTCTCTTTTGGATGAAAAAAGGAATCTCTTAAGACTATATTATATCATACACTTTATTAACTATGCACTTTGCAAATCATTTGTTGTTCTCAGTACACCACTGTTTAGCAAATATCACGTTGGCTGAAAATACAACACTGAGCATGAGTCAGCCACAAACAATCACTGCAGTGACGTAGGTAATATAAAAAGGATCTTACGTAAAGTGTTCCAACGTTCATAATAATGTCTTGAGCTGGCCACCACCAATATTGCCGGTTGAAGATTGGTATTCGAGTAGCTGTTTTTCCCGTATGGTCTAATACTAAAAGATAAAAAACACATGTATAATGTACAATATTTTAACACTGGTTCAATAGGCTTAAACTATTAATCAAAAGTTGGTACAGTGTATTTGGCGGGAGAAACAACATAATGACGATGACCATATGACGCCACCAAAG